AATACTTCTGTTAGTCTCAAAGGTGCCACAGGACCCTCTGTTGCTTTTTTACAGATTCAGACTAACACGGCTACCCCTCTGATACTTGGAGTTTCGAGTGTAGCCAAGCTCTTAGACTTGAATAAATGTTCATGATAAAGTCCATGTGTAGAACTGATTATCAACGTTTAAAAATAAATTTTTAAAAATAAATTTTAAATACCTCTAGCTCTTTTTTAATTTAAAAGTATAAAAAAAATTGGACAGGGCATAGCCTGAGAATTCAAAGCTAAATTTATTTTTCAAAATGACATTTTACAATGGCTTAATCCATAATGTGAACGAATGAGTTCCACCATTTTAGAAAAATATGGGGAAAGCTACAGTTCCAGTTTGTCTAGTTAAAAGTGGGTGGATATGATGAGGATTCAGAGCAATGCAGATGCTTTGCTGCACTTGTGCAGTACCCAAAAATGACCAGAGAGTCATTTACAGTTCAGAGGTCTACGATCTGTGACCTAATAGCTGCTTTAAAGCCATTATGGTCTCAGTGGCCTTGTTCACACTGTGTATTTTTCAGTAAAATTTTCCACCTTTGCAATCATTGGAGCAGCTCCTGGGAACTTTAATGGAGATTTGCTGCCACCATTTTAATAGCCATGGAGTCAAACTATGCTCAGAACAGGTTGACATGGTATGTTGGGCTAATGACCCACTTAAGACAGTGAGAATCTTTATTAATTTCAGTGAGCCCTGGGATTGGGATCTTAAATGCCAGCAGACCATCTCCATTAGTGCTCCCAACATTGCTGCCACCGGTGGAGTTATGTGGGTGATGACAAATTTGGGATTAAAAAAAAATGTAGTGCAGACAAAGGCTAGGTTACAAATCCAGATGAGCCATAATTACAAAGGACCAACTTATATTGTGCTGTGCAAACCTACCAAAATGTCAGTTTCTGCCCCACCATGCTTACAGTCTAGAAATCAAGACGACAGTTGGAGGAGCTGAATAAACAAGGCAAGGTTGGAGCAGTGGGGTTGGGGTAACAAAAAGAATAGGATACGTGTGTTTAAAATATTTTGGAATTCTGTAGTTAAGCAGCTACAACTGTTGGATTAATATAATTTTGAAAGTGTTTCCAAACTTACTATGTATGGATTTTATAGAGGGCTCGTTTGTTTGTTTTTTTAAAGGAAACTCAGCTACCAAAAGTTACACGTCAGGACATTTTAGCCAGGCCTTCAATTCACAACACAGATGCTCAGAAGCAAGCTGAAAATGTGGCTTTGCATTCCTATTGTGCTTCACTTTTGCAGCTGTTAAGGACAAACTTCCTCCCAGCCCCCCACTGTGACGTTGCACTCCACATGCTTTGAATGTGAATATAATGTAAGTGGAATATGCTTCATGCAAAAGGTCTCTTGTAAGGTATCATTACAAAGCTTATAATCTACTGAGTGTGGTCATCCTATTTGTATGAATGTATCGTTCTTGTATCTAAAACTAGAAATATGAAGTTAACTCTGAGGTCCTATTGTAATTTTGCAAAGTGTGGGCCATTAATGATGGCTCCCATTGACCAGGACAATTGGTTGTAAATGGCTGTTTCCTTGCAAGCCTTCCTGTGTTCCTGTGAGTCAGGCTGGAAAGAATGGAGGCTTGGGGTCTCACAGGACATGTGACCATGTCACCTGGTACTGGAATCCATCTTAAACCTGGTGCTTTTCCATTTACAAGGTGGGGTGGAAGATTCCTGCCTTTTGCCAAAGCAATAAAAGGGGGTGGAACAGAACAAAGGGGGCTGCAGTCATGAGAAAACCCCTAGTTACCACCTGAGCTGGAACTTACAAGAACTGTACCGGGGAAAGGATTGGGCCCAGACTAAGAAGGAGTCTAGTCTGTGCAAGAAGCTTATTGGAACATCTCTGACAGTGAGATTTACCTGTATTCAGTTTCTTAAATGTATTAGGCTTAGACTTGCGTGTTTTGGTTTATTTTGCTTGGTAACTTACTTGTTCAGTCTGTTATTACTTGAAACCACTTAAATCCTACTTTTTAAACTTAATAAAATCACTTTTGTTTATTGATTAACCCAGAGTAAGTGATTAATACCTGGGGGAGCAAACAGCTGTGCATCTCTATCAGTGTTATAGAGGGTGGACAGTTTATGAGTTTACCCTGTATAAGCTTTATACAGAGTAAAATGGATTGATTTGGGATTTGGATCCCATTGGGAGCTGGGTGTCTCGGTGCTGGAGCTAGGTGACTTGTTGAGCCGTTTTTGGTTGAAGTTTGCAGCTTTGGGGGCATGGACCAGACCTGGGTCTGTATTGCAGCAGGCTAGCGCGTCTGGCTCAACAAGGCAGGATTCTGGAATCCCAAGCTGGCAATGGAAAACGGGCTCAGAGGTAATACCAGCATGTCAGGTGACAGTCCCAAGAGGGTCTCTGTGACTGAACCCATCATACCCACCATAACTGAGACCAATAGTATGAGTCAAGGATTAAGTGTCAGGTTGCCATGCAGTGATGGGGCACTAAGTTCAAGAAGTAGCGAAAGATTTATGAAAGAGCTCCCTGAAGGAAAAGAGATGTTTCTCCCTTTGATTTTGTCTATATTTCTTATGGGTCTGGTTGTGGTGACAAAGCCACTGAGATCTCCCAGTCAACTCTCCTACGATTCCAACCCTACAGAACATGGCAGTCTCTCCTTCGGGCACTGGGAAGCTGCCACTCCCCAGGGAAGCTTGGATGTGGTGTTCTTATTTAGTTTTCAAGCAATTAGTTCAAGGCTCCCGATTCACGGACTCAGTTGTCTAACTGATCATGAGGCAGGCAAGAAGACTTGGATTAATTAATTGTGGATCAATTAACTGCTGGTGCAAAATTGCATCTACAGGAAAGGAATCGGATAGAAATCCCTTTAAAAAGAAAAGGGCCCAAATATATAATTGACTGAAAAACAAACATTGCACAGTGTGTTTTGCAAACTCACCCAAGTTACAAAGCTAAAGTGAAGGCTGACACTTCTTTAACGTCCTCTGTTTTAAAAGGGCGGGGGAGAAGCAGAAGAGACAATGAGTTGCAGAAGAATCTGAGTACAGGGTTCTCTTGCCCACCTACTGCATTACTATTCTTGAGTGGCCTGAGGCAATGAGATGAATTATTAGCTACTGTTTGAAAGCTGGTCATATTTCATCATCAGATGAATGGCGCATACTGCATTCAACAATGACACTAACATTCCAGCTGAAAAAAGAGGTCCTTAGTATGTTTTTTTTTCTTTGTTGTCAAAACCATTTTATTAAAGGAGAGTTAGTGTCACAACAGGCTCAAGAAACACATGCTTATCAAATCAGTTTGATAAAAATTACTCAACAGAAAACTTGAATGCTTTCAAGGCGTGTGTAAGCAATAGTGGCACCCAACTTCTGCTTTGCATGTACAAATCCTGTTGGCACAATGAAAAACTCAGGAAGGATGCACTCTGGGCAATATTTTTGGTCTTGTGTAGTGCAGTTTGTCTAATAATTTAAATCAGAGAGACCATGAATACAGCAGCTTGATAGACCCCAATATAATCCTTCAATAATTTAGCCTCAGCATGGATTTTTCACTATGGATACTAACAAAACAGATTGAATTTACATCTCAACATAGCAGTGGCAAATACAATCATTATTTGACTCATGCAGCCTCTCCCATTACATGATCTTTTGATTTGCACAAGAAACATTATAAAAAAATAGGTTTATAATTTATATTTCACTCTAGCATTAGCTCCGCACATCTCAGGCAATGACAGTGTTTCAGCAGGTATCCTAATATGGCTAGAATTCTGTCCTAAATTTTAACCTCATTTGGTAAGTCCACATAGAAAATAAATGCAAACTCTTTATACAAAACAAGATCAAATAATTGTACCTATATAAAAGGGGGTTAAATCCCTTTAGTTTTATTATAATGGCACATACTTTATAGTTTCACAACAGCATACTGATTTCGTTGTAGTCTTCTAAACCCGAAGATAGTGTTAATGAACGGAGCAGTGTGAGTTACCATAGGCCGCAGACTCATGCATTGAGCAATTCATGTTCTTTATCTGTTTTCCCAACAGCATCAGGATTGGATAACGGGTCAAGGTCAGCAAAAAGATTGAACCAAGCAGTCAGGTCTTTAGGATTTTTTGCAGGTTCTGGAATAGTGAAATATACCACGTCAGAATTCTTGCTTGACTTAAACATAGCTGATTTAATGCAGAAGATCAAACAAAATGAATGCCATGAGTATTGTTAAGCTGATGAAGAAAATACATCTCCTTCTAGAAATAGTGTAATGAATTACATTTCAACATATTACTTGCAACAAAATTAAATATCCACCCATTTCTGTAGAAATGCATGTAACACATCAGTCTATACAGGTATTTATATGCTCCCCAATTCTGAGCACTTCCTAATTATTTGAAGATACAAATAATTTCTCCCCTCCCTCCATCTCCCTGTTTCCAGCCTGTAGGAGAAATTGCTTGATAACTTGACAGGTGTTTTGTTTCAGTTTGCAAATGTGAAGGAAGGAGAGCAAAGTGAGAGAAATGAGTTTTGCATGTAGCTTTGGCCACAGGACTAACCACTTCCAATCTTCTCCAGTGAAAGCGCTGTCTCCCAGACTGGTCAATAGTTTCATTACTCTGATGGAATGTAGTGGTTATAGCTGTAGAGAGAGAGTAGGGCCAATCCCCTGTAGGGCTTTGAATACCAAGACAGAAGACCCTGAACTGTACTCTTTCGGTTCACAGCAACCTGCTATGTTAACAGGCTGTTGCATTTTGTAACTGCTGGAGCTATTCAGGGTTAGCAGCTTCACACCTCAATAGAATGAATTCCAATAAATACGCCTGGAGATTTTGAATTAATTTTTCCCCACAGCCTTATCTGTGTCTGATAGGCTGGGGCTAAGTCTCAGGCAGGGGCTAGTTGGCTGGGTAATTAAAAGCACTGAGAGGTCTGAAGGATCCTCTTAGGAGGAAAAGTTGCCCATAATGATCTAAGTTCAGTTTGAGAAGAGGGACCTCAGTCATTTCAGGGCATTTCCATTCACCCCTGAAGCAGCTTGTACTCCTGTCCCACCTACATGGTCTCAGGTGCCAGAGAGATGAAACAAAATGATCATGGGATGTACTTCCTTTTCCTATGAACAGGAGGAAGATATCCATCAGAGCAACAAGTACTGTCTGAGTACCATGCCCTAGCCTGAACGATCCAAAACATAGGCAGCTGGCACTGAAGTGCTAGCATCTCAAATAGCTTAGAAAAGAGAGGCAAGTTACTGGCAGTTGATTGAAAGGTCTCTAACACCAAGGAATGGTCTCTTCAGTACTAGTTGCACTGTTGCATGTATTAGGGCTCTTTAGTCAAAGGAGTTGTGGACAGTCTCTGTTAACAGGTGTCCCAGATGTCTTCTGTTTTCTCTTACCATCCAGGAAGGGCAGAAAATGTTTTCATTGCCCTCCCTCCCCTGTGCCAAGCCAAAAAACAGCCAATCAGCACAGCAAAAACAGCCAACTGGCCAGAGTGCAGTAAAACAGCCAAGTGACACAGTGGGACAGCGCACCCTGGAAGAAGGCGCCCAGGGCAACCACCTTGCTCGACCACCCCTCGTAGGGGTCCAAGTCACAGGCGGTGTCTCTGATTGCTGTCAGTGAGTTCATGACTACTGTGTGTGTGAAGGGGCTGAATTCCTGGAAGGAGGAGAGAATTGCATTTCTGGTCTTGTAGTCAGCATGTTGTTTTCGGTGACCTGTGGAGCCATCCCAGATACAGATGATATTTTATGTGAAATAAAATACTTCCTCTCAGCGGGAGGTACTGTGTTCTGGGGTTGATCGGAGGCAATCTGGGTTCACAAAGCGATTTACGGACGAGAAAAGTTCTGCTGGGTCTGACTTCACTATCTGTATGGCTGAGAAGTAGAATCTCTTTGCCACCTTCACAATTATTGGAATAGGTTTTAGACTAATCTAATGAAGTTTATTGTAACTGATGCAATTATCACAACTGCAACTTCCCCACCCACTTTATGACCACATCTAAAACGGATGCCAAAACCCACTCAGCCCTATGCACCTAACCATGCAAAGAAACTTCACACACTTCAGCAAGGAAACAAAAATACACAATATGGTTTAGGTCACCGGTCTTTCCTGCATAAGAGATCTTTGAGGAATTTGTGCACACACACAAGAGGCACTCTTCGCAATATAATTCACTTGTTGCTACAGGCACCTCAAAGCAAACAGATTACTGTAACATGGGGCACGTCACTGAAATAACATCTTGATCAGCATGTTCAGTTAGGACTCTGTTCTACCATTTCAGAGGCCTGTACTTCAGCCACAATGTCCTCCCTGAACTCCAGAACAAATGAGGTTCAGTTCAGACTGAGTGCATGTGGATGCAATTCTATGGCTCACAGATTTTAGAGCAGAAACCCCTGTGTTTCATCTGCTATTTCATTGGAACTTAAATGACTGCTCATTACATTTCACCAGGTTTAGTGCCAGCAAATACAAATACATATATATTCCAACACCGAGTATCTAAAGTAAAGTATTTAATTAGTGTGCACATACAATTCCTGAAGGTAAATGTATTATGCAAATAATCTTAGAGTAATGGAAAACACTAATAATGAACATATCACCTTTCGCAGGCATCTTGTTGGTGTTCACATTCAGGCTGTTTGATTTCTGTGCTGGCTGTGGTATAGATGGATGGCTAACACTGTTAGCTGCCCAGCCTAAAATTTAATAACAAAGTTGCATTAGTGTCAATCAACAGTAATTACTTAATGAACTCGTAGCATCCTGGGTACTTTACAGCAGAAAACTCATATCAGTTGATGGAGTCATACACCAGCCTCACCCCTTTACCAGTTATGGTTACTGCTGCTCATATTCTCCCTCATTTCCATAGAGATAAGCCGTTAACTTCTGCAAAGGAGCAGTGTCCTTGAGAAGAGTATCTGCTGAGCAGTTGCACGTTCCGAAAGGGTAAGGCAATCGTGTGCTTTCCGTCTGCACAGCCGAACTTCCAGTCTGCCGAAAAGAGCACTTGTCCTGCCTCCCTCCTAACAAGACCACCTTCCAAGCACATTTTAAAAAACAGTCAGAATTAGTTCCTGCTCACAGAAGCTCCAGTGCAGACAATCCAGTCAGGCAGGAGAGAGGGTGGGAGGATTTTTAACATTTGAATTGTGGTAAATGTGACTACGATTTAGCTAAAATCTGACCCATGCTGTACTTTTTTCTTCTGTTGCTGCTCTTGTATAGTTCCAGGGACCATCATTTCATTTATTGGCCAAAGCTAAGTATTCAAAGGGACACTTAACTTGAAGCTATTTTTAAATGATTAATTTTAAAAATTCCAGGTCCTTATAAAGCACCTTTAAATAGCATATCCAGAACTTTATTCTTTAGGTTCCTTTTAAAAAAGATTTTATATGGGTGGTTTTTCTTCTTTCTTGGTTTTAAAATTCTTTTCAGCAAAGGAGAAACAAACCAAACAAAGTAAACAGCGAAAATGACTACACACAAAGTGCTGCTATAACATATACACATAGGCACCACAGTCGACAGTGGGAATAGAACCCACCAACTTTAGCACCAAAACTCCAAGTCTTTACCCTTGAGTTAACACCCCCTTCCCTCCTTTTTGCTGTGAGACAGCTGTGGATTATGCAATTGCTGGGCTCAGCCAGTACAGGAAGACAGGATCACAAGCACTAGGCTTCCATATTACACTGTTAAACATGCAATGTAAACACACAGGAAAATAGGACTTTTTCCCTTAAATTATTTCATTTACAGTTATCGAAGGTGCTTATTGTAGCTATAATGGGTGCACGTTATTTCAGTCCTTTCATTTTTATGATGGTTATAGGGTATACGCTACCACAAGTCTAACCATGATATGTGGTGCTACGTCTGTGTATATATGTAGCCAGATCCTCTTCCCAGTAATCCAATCATAATGTTGTCTTTTCTGCATGTGACCAGGGCCGGCTCTAGGCACCAGCACATTTTCAGGAGCGGCACTCCGGCTTTTTTTTTTTGCTTCCTGCGGCAAAAGACTAGAGCTGGGCCTGGAGCCGCTGCAGTTTGCACCATGGGGGAGCAGTGCCGCACCTTGTGGCTGGGCCGGGCAGGCTCCGAGCGGGGAAACTCGAGCTGGTGGCCACCCCGCGGGGCACATGGAGCTGCCTGCAGGTGCCACAGGGCAGCCGCCCCCCAGCGCTGCAGCCAGGGCTGGGCGAAGCAGCCCGAGCCGCCCAGGGACTGCGGCAGGACGGCCAGAAGCAGCAGCGGAGCCATAGAGGGCGGGGCGCTGCCGTGCGGGGCCCACGTCCTGCTCTCCGGGGCTCCGCTTCTTCTGGGGCTACCATGCCCCGGCTCCGTAGCCCCCTGCTGGGGCGGTCCCCCGGCTCTGCCCTCCTGGTCCCGGCCGGTCCTGGAGCCGGGAACCCTGGCTGGAGGAACCCTGGGCTGAGGCGCGGCCCAGGAGCCCCACTGCTTACCCCAATCCTGCCAGCGCCGGACCGGCTGGAGGGAGCGGCGGAGTCAGCACTGGTGCGGGGGAGCCCAGGGCTGGGGCAGCAGGGGGTGCAGGTGGGGGCGGGGGGGGAGAGAGAGCCCAGCACTGGGGTGGGAGGGGGTGTGGGTGGGGGAGGGCACTGGTGTGGCGGGGTGAGAGCCCAGGGCTGGGGTGGGGAGCAGCCAAAAATTTTTTTGCTTGGGGTGGCAAAAAACCTAGAGCCAGCCCTGCATGTGACTTACTTATCCAACCACCAATTTTAGTGATCAATGGACCCTAATTCTAGGATATCTTAAGTGCAATATATATATAAATTGTTAGCATTCAGAATATCCTCATTTGCTCTCATCTCCCTTCTTTCTACAAGCCCACACCTTCCTTCTCTGTCTCCCATAGTTTTGCTCCACTTTCCTCTTCCTCCATCCCTCTACTTACTTTCTTATCTTTTGCCGTGCCTGTCAGATACTGGGTCCTGGTGCCACTGGGACCTGTTACAAAGGCCATTTAAGATAAAGTCTATACCCTAGAGTCTTGCTCGCTTCAGCAGACTACCGCCATTACTGTGGCGATCTGACCTCTTTCTATTTGATTGGTAGGTAAAGCGGTTCCTCTCTGTTTATAATTAATGCCAAGGCCATTTTATTAAAATAGACAGCAGGAGTGTTTTATAGACCTGGTCTACACTATGATGGTAAATCGATCTAACTTACGTGAATAATGTAACTGAAGTTGATGTAGTTAGATCCACTTACCGAGGTGACTACACAGTGCTGTCTCGACAGGAGAGCGTCTCCTGTTGACTTCCCTTATGCTTCTCGGGGAGGTGGAGTACACAAACCGATGGGAGAGTGCTCTCCCATCGATTTAGCGTGTCTTCACCAGACCTGCTAAATCAACACGGTTCGCCGCTCCCGGCCAATGGGAGCTGCAGGAAGCGGCGGCCAGCACATCCCTTGGCCCACGCCACTTCCCACAGCCCCCATTGGCCTGGGGCACAGCAAACTGCGGCCAGTGTGAGCTGCAACTGGCCGAACCTGCGGACGCTGCAGGTAAACAAACCGTCCCAGCCCACCAGCGGATTTCACTGATGGGCCGTGTGCCAAAGGTTGTCAATCCCTGCTCTACAATATTTGCACACTAGTACCTTCTTTCCTTTGCTGTCGTCCACAATGAAATCCTGATAACCATGGACATATTCTTCTGGGGCTCTTGTGTGATGAAGCGTTTTTTAAATTGCTTTCATAATTTGTAGTACAGTATTGTTTTAAATCCCACGCATGTGCACAATACTCCGTCTAATGAATGGCCAATAGATATGTAGGAATTTGCTGCCACTCTATTTGAGCATGATAAACCCAGCATGATATAATGTTAGATACAAGCCAGGAAGCAGGGGCATTGCCTACATCAGCGGTTCTCAAACTTCATTGCAGTGTGACCCCCTTCCGACAACAAAAAATTACTACATGACCCCAGGAGGGGACCGAAGCCCAAGCACACCCCAGCCCCACCACCCTGGGCCGGTGGGGGTCCATAGCTGAAGCCCAAGGGTTTCTGCCCTGGGCAGGAGGCATGTAACCTTAGCCCTGGGGCTACAGCCCCGGGCTTCAGCCCCAGGCGGTGGGGTTCGGGCTTTGGCTTTAGCCCCAGGCCCCAGCAAGTCTAAGATCAGCCTGGGCGACCCCATTAAAATGGGGTTGCGACCCACTTTGGGGTCCCAACCCACAGATTGAGAACCCCTGGCCTATATAAACAAACTGCACTGGGAAAGGGATGAAGGCAACATGAATTGAGTAACCATTTCCAGTGTTTTTCTGGAGTTTACTGGATAAACATTTCCCCTACCCCCTTTGGCATAGTGATGTTTTATCAGTGGTTTATTGGTTACTACAGAAATCAGAAGCCCCATTTGTATGCCAATGGTTGGCAATGGATAGGTTGAGTCGGTTAAGTAAAAGAGGCCAAATTCTAATTTCACAGAAACAAATGGGAATTTTGCCTGGAAACTTTCTCCCACTGACTTCCGTGAGACCAGTATTTGGCTCAAAGAACTAACTGATGGGAGATTTACACTGATGAGACTGGCAGACCACAAATCTGAACATATTGTAGAACAGTATTTAACTCTTACATAGTTTTTCCTTTTTGTCCTTGCACTAAGAGTTGGGGAGCAGAACGCCTCTGAAAGAGACACTGGACTCTGCTCTTGCTTGACGAGAACAGACAGTTCAACAAGTAAATCAATTTTTAAAAAAAGTCCTCAATACAAACTGTGCTGATTTTTGTGATAAAACACTGGATCTGAAAAGGACTGCTTTAAGAGATTACCAGCGTATCTTTATGAAGTAGTCTCATGTACTGTACATGGGGAAGGGATATCTCAGTGGTTTGAGCATTGGCCTGCTAAACCCAGGGTTGTGAGTTCAATCCTTGAGGGGGTGATTTGGGGATTTAGTTGGGGATTGGTCCTGCTTTGAGCAGGGGGTTGGACTAGATGACCTCCTGAGGTCCCTTCCAACCCTGATATTCTATGATTCTATGATTATCACTATAGAGCAAGCTAGAGAGAGGAATTTTGCCTTTGAAAAAACAAACTGCAATTTATAAATTTGAAAGCATTTGTTGGCCTTGAGCCTATTCTGGTTTGCCTGTTCACTGAGAATGGCTTTATGACATGACTAGACAAAAAGATTATCAGTGAGACAGTAAGGAAGTCAAGCAGCTTACTTTTCATTCCTGCAAATGTGGGAAGTAAGTTTAAAAAAAAGTTACCACAATTCAATTTAGAAATGGAACCAGCAAGTTGCACATTTTTCTCCAGCTGAATGACATGTCTACACATATAATGTTAATAAGAGTCCTTTAATTATTATGGATAAGTAAATGGGATTGAAAGTATAGCAAGAGGAAAGCTAATGCTCCCTTTAAAAAGGCAGCTGAACTAGAGCGCTACATTTGCAATGGAATATAAAAACCTAGAGAGAGCAATTGTTTGTTAACCAAGAACTTTTAAAAATAAAACTGGCTTGCTTTCTCCCTTAGAAATAACAACAACAACTTGTACTACCCTATCACTAAAAGGCTCCATATGAGATCAGGCCCCATTGCGTGAGATAATGTACGTATAGTAAGAAAAAATTTCTGACCCTCAGGGTATCATCTGTACACTGCACTAAATCATTGGTGGCTGGCCCATGTCAGATGACTCAGGCTCACAGGGCTATAAAATTGCAGTGTAGACGTTCATTCCCAGAGGTCGGGCAACAGCCTGAGCCTGAATGTCTACACAGCAATTTTATTGCCCCACAGCCCAAGCTGGAGTCAGTTGACATGGGCCAGCTACAGGCATTTTATTGCAGTGTAGACATACCATAAGAGTTTACACTCTAAATAGCCAACACGGACAAAGATTGGGAACTGAAGTAGAGAGAGACTAAGGTCCCAAATCTGGAAAAACTTACGCAAGTGCAAGACACACACTCACCATGTAGAGAGGACTGTAAATCGTTCATGTTTTGGTCTAAGAGCTGTGAGGGAAGGAAGCCTGATGGTGCTGCTGATGATGATGGAGTGCTCTCCATTTCTCCGACTGAAGAGATAGAGGAGAGGTCAGTGAGCGGGTCTTCTCCAAAGACAGCTGTCCACTCTTTGCTGAATTCCCCCTCATCCAACGAGGAAGCATTGAGGATCTCATTCAACAATACCATATCATCCTTATCACCAGACTCAGGCTCCAGGGAGTTTGCAAGATGGTCTTTCAAAGCTGATTTTAAACAAAACGTGGGGAACAAGACAAATTACTACAGATGAATTAACTTTCAGGGAAACAAATGCAGAACGAAGTGGAATACAGAAAACTTCAATTCAGTTTTAAAATACTGAATCATATTCAGATTGTATACTCGGTGTGGATGTCTATGGTTTCCCATTTCCAGACCCAGTTTCTGTGGACAAGTCTGGTTGCAGCTTATGCAGCAAGGTATTCTTTGATAGGTACTTGAAAACAATTACCTCCACAAAGACTTTTTTCCATTTAAAATGCAGTACAAGTTCATAATCACAAACCAAAGCACCGTATAGTCCAAGGTTTAATAAACTCTGGAAGGCTGCTTTTCTGCTTGCTGTCCAGGTCCCTGTTATACGTGCACTCTAAAAAGACTCATTTGACCTTAAATTAAATCAGATTGCTGCATGCCCAAATAGAAGGCTGCCTGTGTAAGATTCAAATATATATCAAACATTTGTTCAGTTGGACTTTTTGACCCACTGATGAATGACTGGATCAGTTGGGGGTCTCTATTTGAGAAAACTGCATACATGTTGAGGGGGATTTTCAAAGACACTCAGCATTGGCCTAATTCTTCTCCCATTGAAGTCAATATTAAAACTCCCATTAATTTTAATGGGAGCATAGTTAGACCAGCACAGAGTACTTTTGAAAGTCCCAGCGCTTAACCCTCATTAACCTCTTGACCTGTTTCCCATTCTATATCAAAGGAACTGTGGTTAAAGAAGCTGCTAGGTTATCGCTGACAAGGTTAGTGTTTTTAAAAAGTCCATTCCCACCCTCCCCAACACAGACATACACAGCGCATATAATTCCTGATCATAACTATTAACCATCTGGTTACATCCGATATTGTCACAGTACTCAAACTGAAAGAAACCATCTCTGGATTTAATCAACAGGTGTTACTTTCATCTTCACCCAGAAACGTTTAGAACTACAGGTATATTGAGGGACTATGCTGATAATGAAAACGTGGTTTCCATCTTCTACTTAGCGCTGGTTACAAGTCTGATACTATCACAGTACTGAAACTTAACAGTTTACCTCAATTATGTATACCTCAAGCATGTGAAAGCACAAGAGGCAGCTTCATTTTGCAAAGCTCAGATGACTAGTTACCTTACTTTGTCCTCCACTTCAGCTTACATACAACTGTAGAGATTACAGATGCTTTTAATGTTTTTGGCATAAGAGATCATAAGAATGGACAACAGGATCTCATGAGGCAAAATGGTCACTACATTTTATTTAAATGTAACTCTCTACTTCAATGTGTTCTTTTTTTTAAATTACCATAATGATTTACACTGAAGTTACCACAGTGGAGTCAGTAGAGAGAAAAGGGGCAGAACTTGAGTTTTAAATAGGCACATGAGTCAATATCACATCGGAGAATACAAACATCTACATATGAGGAATGAGTAAACCAGCTCCTGAAAATAAGAACCAGCCTGAATTTTTAGCCAATATTAAGGTAGAATCCAAACATTTAAACATCTTTTTAATTTACATTTTTATATGGCTCTGCATTTCCTAGGTAGGATCAAAAAGTGGCAAGAGCACAAAAAAGCCTATTCTCCTGGCATTCCTATTAGAAATTACTAGGAGTATCACAAGAAAAACCTATCTCATGAGATTTTCACCCCACCTCCCTCCTCTCAGAGGAGTGGCTAAGAACATTAATACCTTCAAAACTTTTCAAAGCTCACATAGCAGTACTTATCCATATATTTACAGTGCACTCATGACTATGGTAACAACAGTACTCTATCTAGTATTTCTCAGGCATTTATCACTCTGATATCTAAGCACTCACATACTTTCCTAGTGTTTCAGCAGGAAATGTTTTACTTTCATGAAGTTTCAAGACTAGCAGGAGAAGATAACATGTATTAAGAGTGTTGTTACTAATGATAATGTGATACCATTACTGCACCTCACCACAAATTAAATTTACCACAACAGGAAGAAGGTTTGCAGTGATACAGCTCAGATCAAAACTATGCTAGGTTTGCAGTTTTCATGTGTGTCACACCTAGTTAGTGAAGAAATTATACATGAAGATTTAAATCTGAAAACTCAATTTCTTGTGACTATTCTAGTGTGGTAGCTATACTAGGTCATAAGTTATGGACTTTCTTACTTCATACCCTCCTCCAACACTTTCATATTTGTTTTACTTTTTGTTTTTTTCCTTTGCTTTCTATCCACCATTTCTGCTCCGCTGCCCATTTTCCCACCATATCCTTTCCTTGCCTGCACACACAGCTCTGAGCCCTGGAAATGTTTAAACACCACATTGAAAAAAATCCTGCCATCACTTTTCATTTTTGTCTGTTTGAATACACGTAACATGTATGTGTCCTTTAGAACCATTCTGTAGGGTATTTTAAAAAAAAGGAGAGACAAGAATAATGTGGCTTGAAAGAACTGCAACATGAGGGTTAAACAACACAGAAGGCGAATTAGGACTTGTGTACACACACAAAAATTGTGCCACTTTAACTATACCGGTAGAGTTAAAGGGTTAAAATCCCCTCTCACAGTTGTATAGGTATCAAGGTGTTTATACCAGTAGATATTATTCTCATAAAATTAGAGGAATAAGGTATACCACCATAAGGACCTTTATACCAGCATAACCGTGTCCATGCTAAGGATTGTACAGATCTAAGTCTTTCAGAAATTGTTAAATTGGTTCAAAACCTGTACATAGACCAGGCCTTACCTGTGACTCCAGTAGGAATGTTCGACATAGAAGATGGTGGAAGTGGTGGGAAAAAGAAAGAGAGAAAAAGGCCACTACCAGGCACAAGAGGGACACAATATTAAGCCACAAAACAAAAACTCACCACGTCTAACAGTTTATACATGGAGAGTCTGGGGCTCTCTATATTACATATATGACTGAGTATATGACATCACAATGTCAGCATCTCCATGGCCCTGGATAATATTTCCATCAACACTTCAAAAACAGAGCTGTGCAAATAACTATTTTTTTCAGTTTTCTGGCAATTCCAGAAATTACTTTTGGATTGACCTGAAAATGAAATTTTTTGAAATTTTCCACAAAACCCCAAAATAATAAAATTTATTTAGACCCAAAATGCAACATTTTGTTCAACTTGAAATGAATTATTTCATTTTGATTTTGAGCTTCTTAAAAAATTTTTTACAAAAACAATTCAGCAAATTCAAAACAAATTTGCAACATATTTTGTTCAAACCAAATCTGCATTTTTGGCAAAAACTAAGTTTTAGTTGAAAAACTTTTTTCCCCTAGACAGTTCTGTTGTCTTAACTAAAGTGTAGATATCTGTATCCACTCCTTCCCATTTGGAATTCTATACTTCATAGGCTCCTCCTCAGATAGCCTAAAATATATTCACCAATCTATCTGACTCAGCTACATAATGTTTTTGAGTCACAAAAGACTGTGTGGTCTTCTGAGATAAGTAAATTAGGCGCAAATGAAACCATTGCATGATGTGTTACTGCATTTTCATAAGATAGTGCGGTAAATAAAGGGTGTCATTATCATTAGTTGGGACCTTCTTAAACGAAGTGAGGGTAGGAGAAAAAGACAGGCTAAAACAGCACAGTTGGGAAAGAACAGTGAATACTACTCATGCCTTAGTGCTGACACTAGTCTAACCAGCAGAGGATACAAGTAGAGGATATATATTATAGATTGTTCTCCCGTGTATAAACGAGAACAGCATATCTGTTTTAATTAACAGGGAGGGTCAGAGAACTCAACAGTTCTTTTAAGTTTTTAAAGGCGCTCAAATCAGTTGTTTCTGGTACTTATATCTGCCATATTTCCAAAAAAATTATAGTGGCTATAGAGTCAGTACCAACTATAATGACAAGATGGGCATAAAAAGCAAAGAAGAATAAAAGACAGGACTATTAATCATTATGGGAAGGATGGGAATGACACTGTAACGTGCATAACATTAGCCCCACTGAAATAAATATGAATTACATCTTTTGTCAGCAAGACAATTATATTTTTTGGCAAATAAACTGAAGTACTGTAAATCCTATTGCACTCAATAGGATTTACTTTTTATTCCATATCAGATTTAGTGCCCACAAATTACGTATGCAGAGTTGAAGTTCTTTAACAATATTTAAATACTGTAGGTGGATGATCTGATTTAGAAAAAGGTAAGATTAAAAATATTTTTGGTATTTTGCTTTTGGAAAACTGATATAATAGGCATGCATGAATTTCACATACCACTTTCTTCAGGTTTCAGGTCTAATAAATCATCTATGGCACCTAGTGGTTAAAAAGCAAAGCACAAAAAAATATTAGTCATTCATTGACTCCTTATGTAATCAATAGTTATAAATTGTAAAGTTACCTAGGTTACCTGAATTCTCTTTATAGTCAAAGCTTCCTCCTAAGGTAGAAAGGATGTCCTTCCCATCTTCAGCTGCAACCAAACACATGAAGCAAGTCAAACCAAGTTCAGCAGTAGGTATATACTATCGATCACCTGACCAGGATGGTGGTGATGATTTTGAATGCCCAGGGAGATATAGAGAGGCTACGAAAATAGAAACAACAATAATAATGGGGGATTTCAACTATCCCCATATTGATTGGGTACATGTCACCTCAGGATGGGATGCAGAGATAAAATTTCTAGACACCATTAATGACTGATCCTGGGAGCAGCTAGTTCTGGAACTCACAAGAAACGATTCTTGTTTTTACCCTAAGTGGAGCACAGGATCTAGTCCAAGAGGTGAATGTAGCTGAACCACTTGGCAATAGTGACCATAATGTAATTAAATTTAACATCCTAGGAGCGAGGGAAATACTAAAGAAGAACTAGCATTTAACTTCAAAGAGGGGAATTTCACAAAAATGAGGAAGCGACTTAAACGGAAACGAAAAGGAACAGTCAGAAGAGTGAAATGCCTGCAAGCTGCATGAAAACTATTTAAAAACACCGTAATAGAGGTTCAAACTAAATATATCCCCGTGCCCCCTCCTCCCAAGAAAAAACAGTTAGAGAACCAAAAAAATGCCACCATGGCTAAATAGCAGTCTAAAAGATGCTGTTAGAAGCAAAAAGGCATCCTTTAAAAATTGCAAGTCAAATCCTACTGAGGAAAATAGAAAGGAGCATAAACTCTAGCAAGGCAAGAGTAAAAGTATAATTAGGCATGCCAAAAAAGACTTTAAAGAGCAACTATCAAAAGACACAAAAACTAAAAGCAAAACAATTTTTAAGTACATCATAAGCAGGAAGCCTTCCAAACAATCAGTGGGGCCACTAGATGATCAAGGTGCTAAAGGAGCACACAGGGAAGACAAGGTTCCTGGGGAGAAGCTAAATGAATTCTTTGCATCGATCTTCACGGTTGAGGATGTGAGGGAGATTCCCACACCTGAGCCCTCCTTTTTACCTGACAAATCTGAGGAACAGTCCCAGATTGAGGTGTCAATAGGGAAGGTTTTGGAACAAATTGATAAAATAAACAGTAAAAAGTCACCAGGAGGGTATGAACACGGGCCAGGTGCTGCTCTAGGGCCTGCCAGCCCTCTGCCTAGGGCAGGTGGAGGGTCCGGGGCTCTCCAAAGTGGCTCAGGCTCCCTGGGCGGCCCAACTCCAGCTTCTGGCCTGGCTAGGGGGTGTGGCGTCGGGGGAAAGACGAGGAGCAGTTACTCCTTAAGTACCTATCCGTAAGGTGTCAAAAAGAAAAAATATTATGGGGGACTTCAATGTGGGAGATACTGCTTGCTGCATGGGACCTCCAGCATGTAAAACATCATCAAAGTTTACAAAAAGTATACACATTTTTTAACACAAAAGGTATTGCACCCAACATGAGGTAACATTGTTTTGGCTCTCATAATGAAGGATAAAGATTAATCAGTCACTGTACTGGAAGCTGGTGATTGCCTAAAAAAATGTATTGGGAATAAAAATTTAAACAGAAAAAATCTGAATGAAAATGGGAGTGCTTAAGGGAGAGCTAATAGGTGGCCAAAAAGCCACAATTAAACAATGACAGCTTTGGCTAAAAGCCCATCCTGGACCAGTGGCAAAATGAAGGCAGCAATTAGAGAATTTAAAAAGCAATATAACAAATGGAATAAAGTTACTTAGATAGCACTCATTATAAATGAGAACTTATGAAAATTGATAGCAGAAGCTAGAGAAATCACAGAAAAAATCCATGCCTGGCAGGGCTAAGGACAATAAAAAGGAGGCTAAGTATATTAGGAACAAAAATCCTAGCAATGGGAATAGCCAGACCAGGATGGTAAAACTGGTAATAATAAAGCAGAAAAGGCAAAAGTGTTCAATAAATATTTCTGTTTGGTACTTGGAAAGAAGCAGGATTGCGTACTCCTGTCATATGAGGATGACGAAGTGATTTCTGGTCCATCAGAAACTTAGGCCCAGATCCTCAAAGATATTCAGGTGACTAACGCCCACTGACATCAATGGTGATGTGATTTCAATGGGAGTTAGGTGCCTGAATACCTCTGAAGATCTGGGCCTGAGTAAACTACATCTACCAGGGATAAACATTTTAAAATCAGCAGGCTAGAATTCAGACTGGATGATGTAATGGTCCCTTCTGTGCTTAATTCTATGAATTGCTATGAAGTAACTTGCGGAAGTAATACATACATTACATAGATCACCACAACTGAGAAACATTAGGATATACAATAATACCTGAATAGGTCAGTTCCTTGCTGTGGTTTTCCTCATCTAGTGAAATCAACCTTAAATTGGAGAGTGAAAAAAATTCAGAGCACACTTCTGTGTTTTAGTGTCATACATCTTGTAAAAGGTAGAAAAACTTTGGATACCTTTCCTTCTTCAGTTGTACCATAATAGCATTACATCAGTAGCAATAAAACAGTAATTTACATTAATCCCTTTACTTCCCAAGTACGCTGGTAAGTTGTTGCCTTCTAATATTTTGTCTGCAAAACCTATTAAAGATTAAACTGGGTTGAAGAGAAACTGTCAAGTGGCTTAAGTCCCATTTTTATCTACCTAAAAATCTGTAATGGACAATATACAACTGGATTCTGTGCATCCAGATTTTGTTTTGTCCACTTATCAATAAGGAGCTATAACCATCCCCCACAAAAACATTTTGCATTCTCTATCTATGGCAGCAATTAAATAGTATGGGCCAGATTCACTCCTAGTGCAAGTCCACTGACTCCAGTCAAGTTACCGTACATCCACCTCAGTGTTAACACAGATTTGGAAAGAATGAATCAACGGTGCTGATGTTATGAACAAACAACATAAGGTCTGGTTTACACACAATTTTTATACTGGTTTAACCATTTTGATTAGTGGTGTATTTAACCAAATGAATGCAGTTATCTATATAGCTATCTATATATTCCTAATATAACTGAATCCACAGTAGTGGGGGTTGCATTGCTTCAACTATATAGTGGTATAGTAAAAGCAGTACAATTTGTGTGTGTAGACAAGCTCTAAGATTATTTAAAAACAAAACAAAAAACCCCAGCATGCTAATTTAACCTGTGTTCACAACATAAGGTAAAATTCAACAGCCATCAAATGCTGAAAGGTAAAGGGGTTGTGTTACTGACTTAACCAATGGTCTCATAGTTGAGTATCAGAAGAATAAATGACCTGATGAGAGTAATATAAGTTCATTAATCAAGGTAGTGAGTTCAATTCTACCCCTGCAAACAAGTCAGATATTTAAAATATATTGTGATTCCATGGGGATTTATATTTATTTTTTCTAAAGCCTTAGAAATGGTAATTAATATTTTTGTTTTAAGGAAGAAAATGAGGGAGAGGGAAACTGTTCTTTCTTCTTTGTTACAGAGGTTTGTGAAAAGCCATGACACAAGCAAGTGTGCCCATTACATGACAGCTAATGTGTTTTCTGGCAAGATCTACAATACTATGTCTAGTATCAAAGCAGACCTCTTGCATGAAACATGATTCTAGCACTCAGGATAGGTGTATTGTTTTGCTTTTGTTTTTAAACTGTAGCAGGAATGCAGGCAATATGGGGACTGAGGAAGTTTCTAGGCACAAGCTCTGAATTGGGGTGAGGTGGGGGAAGCTTCACGGAATAATAATAGAAGTGTAGGACTGGAAGGGACCTCGAGAGGTCATCTAGTCCAGTCCTCTGCACTCAAGACAGGACTACGTACTACGTACTAAGTAGTTCATTCCTAATACTCTTTTCCTTATTCTAGAAGTTCCTTCTTCAGTCCTTTCTAACCTGTTTAACCCTCAAATAGGACTCACTTAAAACCTATTAGCTAGTGGAAAATGTCTTCTGATTCTTTAATTTGTTTAAAAATGCAACAGTCTTTCCAAAAGACTTCTAAAAACCAGCCAAACAAAACCCAGTAACCAGCATTCAAATTGTTCTTAATTTTTTGACATCCGATCCTTATGTAGGTACTTTACTTGGATGGTCAAAACAACAGGTGGCATCAGGATTACATCACTGTATGTCCTCGCAACTGAATCTTGATGTTTCCATAGGCGAGGGATCACATCTCATCCTCCAGTTCTCCCATCCCCTGATCAGCTGCTCCGAAGATTAACATACAACCCATTCATATATCCCTCTCACCTCAGAGCCGCAGGTAACTCAAGTCACAATAGAATCAGCTCACTTAGATGTTCTCTTTGCAAAGTACCTGCTGCTGTACTGGATTAATAGCCAACGCTGTATACATCATAAAAACTAATCAGTGCTTACAGCAAGCAAGAATTCAGCTCCTGTTCCCAGGTGCAAGGAAGAGGGCATGAAAGGGACAAAGGATGAAGTGCAATATTATCATTTTTCTTTAAGTTGTTTACTGTTTCTCTTTATTTTTCAGGTTTTGCATTTTCCCCCTTATTAAATTGAAAGAGTAAAGCAGAAAGCAGTTAATTCGAGGGCCTAACTGTACTTGTTCTACATTGCTCACTTTTAGTTTACAACAGAACTTTTGTGCTTGGCTCCTTGGCTGGGGAATCTGATCTATACACTGCAGTATTACAGGAATTCCTCCACTTTGATCTCTATTTTTCCAAATCTCTAGTGTTCAAATAAAGTAAGCCTGTATTTACAGTTATAAGCATGACGGACAAACCCTAAGATGAATTGGAAAGCACAGCACAGATGAAAAAAATACATTGTTCTGAGATGCAGGACACGTGACTTACTGACTCTGCTGATCCTCCACTGATTTGGTGCTTGCAGTCTGCAAATCCTCCTCCTTTTCAGCTCTCTCGGTTAATTTATTTACAGGATCTTGTAAGCTCTAGATCACAATCAATACATAAACGAAAAAGAAAATGGTAGACAGTCAGGGAAATGATATTATTTCATGTAACATTAAACTGGCCCAGCTAAGTCCACATAAGAGAGCAAAATACTTTCAAAGTATTGGAGCCTAGTCTGAATCAGAGAGAGAAAATTCCTGCAGGTAAATTTTTTTTAGTGATTATTCACTAAAGCAGAGCTACAGTATAAATAACACGAAAAGAAGCAACCACTCACTATACATTTCCTTTATTGACCATTCATTTCTGAAGGAGGCCTCTTGGCTGTTGCTAAACTCATATTCTGTTTCCAAAACGTATTTAAGAAAAATCTGTTCCGTTTGCAGCCCACACACTGAGAGAGAGAGTGTGTGTCTGAAGATGAGCTAGAATTAAAAATGAAATGAAGCTATATTTTTTTCTTCATACTGCTTCTTCATCTCCTCTCTCTGGCACAGCTATTTACAGGACCCTAACAATTTAGCTCATGTGCAAAGACTATAAGAAGGCCACACCTGTGTCCTCAGTGATAAACTCTTGTACTATATGACCTCCAGCTACTGTACTTCATCAAAACCTATTTGGTGTTTATTTTATAATTGAAGCAGACTTTGAGAGGCGGCTAAAGTGGAAGTTTTGTCATTTGAAAGCACGGTCGTGCACTGAAAAGTAAATATGTAAGTAACAGCATCCTGGCGTTTCGTGTTTATCATCTCAGTCCCAAATGTGGGCATGCAAACAAAAATACACAAACAGTTTATGCACTCAGTGACAAGGATTACATACATGATCATTAAAAGTATAGTATATATTAGGATGTTCTGATGTGGGTCTGCCTCACTCTCTCTTGTGGCAGCTACTCCACATATATAAATAATTTAATCATTAAATATGCACTGGGCCAGAGAGAGTAACTCCATACCCAAGTGGTTCAGGCACTCACCTGAGATGCAAGAAACCTTTGCTCAAACCCCTTCTTCTCATCAAGCAAGAGGGTCTCCCGCATCCCAGATGAGTGCTCCAGTCACTGGCCACAAGGAAAATTTCTTTTTTGCCTCATCCCCAGGCCATTTTGTGTGGAGTTAGGTGTGTGCCACCATCATTCTTGCAAGAAACAGCGTAGGCACTTCCCTTCCAGGAGAGGGTTCCCAGCTGTGGCTCCCAAGGAGAGATAGGCAGCTCCCCCCAGCCCAGACTTAGGTGCCTAACTCCCTAAAAACCAGTGGGGTTTAGGATACATCCCTCTCCTTGGCATCTGCTATCAGCTAGTTTAGGTAGCTCCTCACATAGTGTGCTGCCTTTTGTAGACACCAGTTTTAGGCATCTCTCTAACCCCATGAATTGTATAGGGAGCCTCAGTGCGTAACTCAGAGCTTGTGGATTCCACCTGTTGGTAACAGTCCTAAAAGTCAGAGATTGCAATGCTGAGCATTGCAAGACCGAAGTCCCTTTGTAGATTTGGGCCCAGATCATAAACTTGGAACTGTGAGAGTGGATCTTTGTGCCTGTGTAGAACAGCACTGAATTCAACAGAGCTCTGTGCAGACAGAAGTGTGTCTTGCAGGATCAGGATTTATATTTGTATCTTGCACTGTGCCAAACACACTATGTAAATGTAACAAAAAAACAAATAGAGCAGATATCATGATTTGGAATACCCACAAAAGAAGATCTTTTGGGTAAGTAAATGCCACTTTTACTGTCCCTTTTCTGATAACTGACTTTAAAGTGTTCATTTTACTGTAAGCCTTGCTGATATTCAGGATAACCAATTTATTTATTTTTTGCTAAGAGAGAACACACTTTGTGAGAAGCACACTGAGTAGAGTATCAGAGGGGTAGCCGTGTTAGTCTGAATCTGTAAAAAGCAACAGAGGGTCCTGTGGCACCTTTGAGACTAACAGAAGTACTGGGAGCATAAGCTTTCGTGGGTAA